TATAGAAACGTGCTGTACGATTGTGATATAGTATAAAACTGTGGAATTATTTCTGAATTATCATGTTTTGCAGCATGAATTCCTAAACCACACTGTCCAGTGCAACTATTCTGTAGCTCTTGCACAGCTCATCCATGATTATTTCATAATCATATGACAATCATATCAGATAAGGGCGGAGAAGTAATTTCCATTCTAACAGTCATACCATCTCCCAAAACTGGGTTCTTTTCTAATCAGTTGCTATTTCTAAAAGCGCCATCCAAGAAAAGTTCTGAATTTTTCAGTTGATTTTCCATACATATTCTAACATGTGGGTATTTCAAGATGAATAGAAGAAATCTCATACTTTGCCAATATATTGAAAAGTTCAGTGGAATGACCTGAGGATTAATAACCTGTCATCAATCCAGTGTAAAACACTGGACTGGCTAATTCCAGGCACTATTTATAAAGAATCAGAGAAACATAATGCAATTCATGCCAATCAGGATGGAATTAAGGAAAATATATTTTATTTCAAGAAAGCTATCTTGATATTTTTTTAGGTTTTAAATTTTCCAGGGAAAAAAAATCTATACTACTGATGTAATACTTATAAACTTTGGTAGCACTTTTGGCACTAAACACAATTTTGATTAAGAAACTAGAATTATCTAAAATCATCAATGTAATGATTGAATAGATTAAAACCTGAGCAATTTACATTCTTAAAAACCCTTATAAATAGGGACTTCTCATCAAGAGGATGTCAGTCAGCTCTTCAGGGTCAGTTCTTGGCTCTATTGGGTTAGTACAAGTCAGTAATAAGTTTTCCATTATTCTTCTCTTTCAGGATTTAGTCCATGTTTATAAGCACCATAATATTTTGATAGTGTATTTTTATGGAATCACTGAAAACCCACACGGCTAATGTATGAGGTCAGGACAGAGCTTCTATTGCTTAGGACATACTAAAACCAAGTCCACAGACAAATATCCTCAGATTTGCTTCACTGAAGTTTGTTAGACCACACTGTAATAGTGTTATCCAAATCATGGATTAGGACAAAGCCAAAGAACATATGTTTGTCACATCCTGTTTGGATGATACCAGCATAGACACAAACAGAACAAGCAGATTCTGGCACAAAATCAAAGACATTTTCGTTAAACTCGCAGTTGTTAAAGAACATGTCAATTATCACATGGACTGAGTAATTAAATTCTATATTTTGCCCATGAAAATATCTTTAATAGCCTTTGCAAAATGTAATTTTTGAAGACAATCTTTAAATTTGTAAGATCTGCTTTTCAGCAGAACACAGATAGAGCAAAGATTTGATTCAAAGCAGTTCAAATAACAGCTTATTTTTTTCATTTGCAGGAAATAAGATTTTTCTACCTGCTTTATTTTAAAGCTTCTTGGGATATAAAAGCTTTCTGCTCAGTCATTAGCTGCAAATTGCAGAATGAAGCAGTGCCCTACAGCATTTCCAGATGAAGTAGTCTGTTTATACAGAAAGCACAAGAGCTATAATTACTACATGATCACATTTGTATATCAAGGTCAGATTTATGTGATTCACACTATTGTTTGGACATAAAGGGAGTTGATTTTCAGCATGGTGGTGCACAACTACTATTATTGTTATATCACTGACTGTAGAAACAATATTAACTTTTGCTTGTTTGAGTTTTTCTAGTTAGGTTAACTACAGTTCAGGCATGTGAGAAAAATTGGCTGGTTAGTATTTGCCCTAAAGTATTCATTATATATGCAAAATATGTATTTATATTATTGCTGTCCAGGTTGCATATTCTATTATGAAAGAAAAAAACAAACAAACAAAACTCCAAAATAAAAAAACAAAGTAAGTCATTAAATTATTTATGCATGAAATCATACAGACTTTAAGCAATATCTAATGCAGGTAATTAAATAGTGTACAAAATATTTTATGTTATTTCCTTCTCCTCTGCAAAATCCCTGCATAAGATTCTCTTCTTGACTATTACCAAATATATTGGCAAATTTTATATTCTGCTACTGAGAATCCATTGGCTTTCCACACTATTTAACCAGTTTTAAAAGCTTAAAAATATAGGGATTCAAGTCATTATACTTATTAGTTAAGCATTAGAATTAGTCAAGCACTTAAATTGTAGCAATTAATACAATATAATTGTATGTATTTATAATCAGGCACAAGAAAAAATGCTTTCCTTATGGAATCAGCTACTTCATTATTGTATTGAATTTAATTGCCACCCAGCTGCCATTAATGTCAACCTGTTCTTAGTTAGACCCTCTTCTTACTTAAGCCACAACTAGTCTTTCTCTTTTGAGGTGTAGGTGTCCCTGGGTAAAAGGCAATCATAATTCCCTGGTTTTCATTGTTCTCTATCTGTTCTGGGCTTTTACATTTCATATTCACTCCCTGCTCCCACTCATATTCTGTCACATGTAAGGATTTTACATAAACCTGATAGTTTTATCTTCACGCTGCCAAGTACAGTTGGGAAGCACTGTTTTTCTTTCCTTGGGGGATGAGAGAGAGAGTCAAAATGCCGTCTTGACACAGCCAAATTCTACTACTATCTTTGGGTCAAGAGTTTCATAAAATCTGTATTTAGCCTCAAAGGACTCTTTACCCAGACAAATCACTTCCATGGGCATGAGGTTTGAGGAATTTGCCATTTGAATGGTGCCCTAATAAATTGTCCAAAAGTCACAGATTCAGTGTTGAACCCACGTGAGCAAATTCACCACCTTTCCTCTCTCTAGGAGAGCTGCATGTTTCCTTCTCATTGTTGTTTCTCACTAATCAATGATGATAAATTCCACCAACTTGATTTCTTTATGAATATTTTTCTAGATTTCTTTGATATTTCATTTATTTGCTGGTTACTGTTGTACCAAAAACCAGCAGAAGACGTAGAAAGGGAATACAATCATCCTGAACCACTGAGATCTAGCCAAAAATGCTGATAACTCTGCTTATAGCAAATGAGTAATTAAATAATATTCAGTAGCTTATCATAGCAGATGTAAAGAGATTCTGTGACTTTTTAGATTTATGAAAATTAAATTGCCATCAATTCAAAACATAATCCAATGTAAATCATAGTTACTTGTGAACTTAGGTCAGCATCCAATTTAGAAAGCAATGAGCCATTATATATATTTTATTCCTTGCTTTGATTTGAATAGTATAAACCCATGATGATGAAGGTGACTTTTTTGCCTAAGGAGATGGATAATACAATTAAAAGAAAGAGGTGTGCTGTAAAATTAAACAATTTTAAGCAGACATGTCATCATGGGTTGAATCAGATCCAGGGTTGCCGGTGGCTATGTGTTTGCTATAAGTTGGTGGTACTCAGTTGTCTGCCAGGGGAGACCTTTCCCAGCCCACAAAAAAACAGTGCAGTGCGCAGGCCTTCTTCTAATAACTTTTTCCTGCATGTAACACAACATTCAGGCATAATGTTCTTGGTTTAAGGTAGATACTTCTCCTCTTGCATATTTGACTTCAAATTAAAGGACTCACCTCTTCCTTACTAGCAGAGCCCATAACCATTTTCTCTCCTGTGCTGCCAAGCTGGTGGCATACCTGGTAGAATCTCAGATCCTTTCCAGGCAGTATGTAAAAATCTGAAATCTGCTGGTTAAAGAGCTGTCTAGCCCTTCTAATAACAAAAAAGCTCTTGACAACATCACTTGAAAGTACCCTAAAGGCTCAGAAACAGAAGGGAAAAATGAGATAGTAACATCCCATCCGAAAATTCTTATGTTGCAATTTTTAATTGAATCTCATGTGTCTTGGAGACAGGGATTATTCTATGTTATTTTTAATGTTAAGGGTTGGCAAACCTCCAGACCCACATGACATATCTGGAAACACAAAACAAACAGGACAAAACCCATAAACAAACTACAGCAGTCTCTGGGGAAATAGGTCAACAGGCCTAACCAGACTTCTCTTAGACAGAAGGTTAAAAAGAAAAAAGACTTATAGAGGAAGAGATGTGCTTTTCCTTGTGGAATCAAGGAATCAAGTAATATGCTCAAATGAAAATGGGCAGACTGGTCAAGCAAAGGGTGTGATCTGGGGACAGCCTCCCACTCCCGTGCTGCCTTAGCTCCTCTGTTTGATCCCATCTCATCCTTAGGGGTCCTTGTCAATCTCTCATTCTGCCAGCTTACCCAGTCCACATCTCTCTGTCTCATGTGGTTTGTCCCAAACTCCTGGCTTTATCATCTCATGGCAATCAATCTCCTCTGTGTAGCATTCTCCTTCCCAGCACAAATACCTGGCCCCAGTACCCTGTCAGTCTTTTTCTGCCTTGTCCCTTTGGACCAAACATGGAGGTTGGCCCAGAAGGGCTCAAAGTGAAAGGTATGTGCCAGTCCTGCCTACCTGTCTGAGGCTCTGCAGCATCTCTAACACCTTCCCTCCCCTAGAGCAACACAATACTTAAACTGGAAAGAGCACACAATATAATGGCAGAGAAGTCTGACGAAAAACTGCAAAACCACTTTTCCATGGCTTGCTGTGACTGTCCCCCCACACCCTCCTTCCCTCTCTTACATGCAGGATTGCTCCCTGTCAGAACACTTCTTGCTCCCAGTCTCTTTATCCTTCAAGTCTTATCTCCATCTCCCAAAAAAGATCAGTCTGGTGCATACACCTGACATGGAAATTTTAAGCCTGAATGGTTAGACTGAAGTTATATCAGAAAACAGGGTCTTCTGAAGTGTCAGACAACTTGGACAGATGATGTTACCAGCGCTGCACTCAGTGCAGCTGAGTGAGTAGTTGCCACACTGAGTTAGACAGAGTCTTCCCAGCTAGCCAAATGAAGCTCTCCTGTGGCAATTTTTAACAAAGTGTTATTTTTGGGGGATTTCTAATGGATCTCTTTACCACAATGAAATTCAAAATATCCAATTCAGTGATCAAATAATGTACAATAAATTGCCATAACTGAAGGATTAAAAGACGTTTCATACTGACTGTTTGCATAAGTGACCTTGTCAGTCCCATAGTTTGGTCAGTTTTACTTCCTTGATCTTTTCTCCTCATCTAGGTAGGTTTCTGGTCGTGACAGATGAGACATGAGATCTTCAGCATCCAGGCTTTCAAGCTTTTCTTCAAGAGATTCACTATGGAATCGGTAAGAAAGACAAAAGACATAAATATAAATAATCAGGTTAAAGAGAATCTATGAAAAATAAACCCAAAAGACATTGGTTTTATCAATTTTAATACCTGCAAGTGGGTTTTTTTCTCTGTTTAATGCCACTTTGGACATTACTACAGTAGGTGCTTCTCAGAAAAAGTCTAAACTATTGATCCTTCCAAGGATCAAAAATTCCAATAAATCAGTAAATCCTTACAAAACATTGATCACCTGAGCACATACTGAAACAAACACATTTATTACATATTTTGCTTTTCTGTAATAGATTTCAAAGCTGGATAAGGGGCACAGGGAATAAAAAGGACCCTCCTTTCAACTCATCTTGATCTGGTAACTGATGTTGTTTTAACTTTGAAAACAACAAATCTCTGAGATCAGCCTGAAAAATCTATGGCAAGATCTGTGCGGGGGCTTGAAAAGAGAAGGGACTCTCTTTGCGTGATGTAAAGTGCTGAACAGCACACAGTTGTCTAAATATGCTTTTGTTTATTCAGTCTCTGGATGGTGAGTGCTCTTGTTTTAAAGTTTTCACTGTGTTTCACTGAACCACTAAAAGTTACATTTGGATTGCCTGACTTGAACCACAGCACTGATGGTTAAGGCTGCAGTGTTCTTTGTACCTGGAGCAGTGGCTGGAGCTGCCCTGGCACAGGTCACTGCTCCCTGTGACCATCGCAATGCTGTGGGACTTTCATCTTTTCTTCCTCCCTGGAGGAATTAGTTGACCATATTGCACTCCAGACCAGCCAAGAGGGTGAATCACTGCTGCTGATCTTCTGAAAACTGAATAAATCCTCCTTTGGTGCATTTGCTTTGTCACATGGCTACACATATTTTTCCTTTTTAAGTCCATGATGTCTTAAATAAGCAAGAGTTCAGAAGTCAAACAATCATCTTTGAAAAAGTATGAAGCTCTTAAGCTGGACATTCTTATTTGATTTTGAAACAGTACTTACATTTTTATGTCCTACTGCTCCTAGATTTTCTTGGAGAAATAAAACACAACCACCAACAAGAAAATAAGTAGTGCTAAGTTCTCTGAAATTAATTAAACCCAGTTTCATATTTTTGTCGTGACTGCAGTTCCTGAGGAGGTTTAAAACATCACTGAAACTTTTCCCATTACTGGGACACTTCAAGGATCTTTCTCCCACACTGATCATCTTGATAAAGACCAAGGTGATGGTGAGCCTTTCCTATCCATGGAGGCATAAAACATTTTTTTCCTCTGCTCATCTCTATTTTCCCACAACACTTTTAAGAACTGAAGGATTATGACATTTTTTCTGCCCCCCTTTCAAATCTTCTGGGATGAGCATTGATTTTAAAAAATCCTTTAGAGGCAGGACAGATGAGTAGATGGTCACTCTCGACAAGAGAGCCAGTTAACACAGGAAGACGCAAGCTCACACTCAGTGGTTAAAAGTAGAAGCAAATGAGTAATCAGAGAAAGGGGCTGCTGTGGTGAACTTCTAGACTGAAATTCTGTACTTCTTTATTTCATTTAGCACCACATGAACATTGACCCAACAGAGATTTGGTTCACACAGTAAGACTAGTTTCCAAAAGCTTCCATATGGTTATCTGCCATCCTGAGTTTTAACAGAACCCCACAACTTCAACATTCAAATATCTACATTAAAAAAACATGCAGACCATAATTTTAAATATAAGTAATTTTTGCTTGAGCATTAAAGCAGATATGCCTCAAATTATTTCAGGTCTTATGTACTGTTAAACATATTGATCCATCTAATAAAGCAAACAAATAGACAAAAAACCCGAAACAAAATAAAAACCCACCAAAAACCAACGGGCATTGAAAACTTGAACTATGCTACGTTCAAGTCCAGACCATGGCCAAGTGATGCATCTTTGAAAATAGTAGCTTATATGAAGGAAATGCAGATGGACCAGTAAGTTCAGGGTTTGCAAGGACCTTTTTTATAACATCCAACATCTGCAGATTTATTTCCAGCATTTCTCTAACAAGATGCTATTTAGGAAATTAAGAAATGAAGTATGCTCAGTCAACACTATAAGCCAGCATTTGAACTTCAACTCAGTAGGTTCATACACATTCATGTCTGCAAACCGCGTCTTAGCAAAGCTTGTGTAAAGGCACAAAAGAGTTCTGTGCCTCTGTTTAGGGTCTTAGTCCCTCTTCTTCCCCAAAGTACTGATTTTATGCTAATAAAATCATAATACAGAGGGGGAAATCCATCACAAAACCAGATCTTTCTGCTTTATATTCTCACATCATGACCACCTAGCAGAAAGAAACTCTTTAATTTACCGGCCAAACCTTTTTGTCTATCCAATAAAATGCTGAAAAAATTGTTTGGTCTGGGAACCCATCTAATCTTTCAGCTAGTTTTTTAAACTCTTACAATATAATGTATAGTAAAAATACTTAGTTCTGATATAGCAGTACTTGTCGTAAAAGCCCAGTGTGCTTTCACCTAGAAAAATAAATGTGATTGTCTGCATTCCACAGATAGAGAAACGATGCACACAGAGATCAAATGCCATGTTGGAGCCATGAGTGGCACCCCAAGGACATGACCCCAGGTGTACAGAACCTTCATTTCATTTTCAAACTACTTCCCAGGTTCCTTTGGGTCTGAACCTCCATTTTCACTGCAGGCAAAACGCAAGCCGCCATCAGCATACATTTAGCTGCTTAGGTAGAACCAGAGATGTGCCTGGTAATGACACAGCCACATCGCTTCCAGAGGGAAAGAGAAAATATTGAAATGTTTGCAATGTGGGTTGAGTCTTTATTTCATTCCCTTTTTATTTTGGAGAGCCTGCTATGCCAGCTGCCCTGCAACATGTTCATTTCTGCAGTATCACTCTCCGATTTTAGTCATTGGTATTTCTCATATTAAAAAAAAAAAAAAAAAAAAAAAAAAAAAAAAAAAGGAAAAAAAAAGCATTCAGCTACTATGATTCCTGCTTTGGAAGGACTCTTATTTTTCTTGTTTCAGTCAGAGTACCCTTTCATAATATATTGGCTTCATCTTGTCCTTTGCAATCCCACTGACCTGGCCTGCTCTCATGCCAATGTGCCTGCAGTGCCCTTCCAACAATCCTCCAAGGATTCCTCAGGGTCAGGAATGCAAGGATAACCACTGACAGGTTTCCCTGTGCTGGTCCTCAGCCTCACCAAAGCAGTAATGGTGGGAACTGCTGGGAGAGCAGCTCCCAGGGGTAAGCAGTTCTTAAATGACCATCTCTGTGAGCAAAGAGCAGGCTCTCATTCACACCATGGGAAAGGGTTAAACTTTCCAGTGGTTCCACTGACAATTTTCTTATCCATCAGCATTCATAAGAGTTTGATATCTTTGGGCTGTCCAATCTACAGTCCTTATAGAGGAGTATGCTGCTGCTGCTGCTTTTATATTCTGAAGATGTTGTAAGGGTTGTATTTTGAATCTTTTCTCTCCTGACACACAGAATCATAGAATATCCTGAGGTGGAAGAGATCCACAAGGATTATCCAAGTTCAACTTCTGGCCCTGCATAGGACAGTCCAAAGAATCACCCCACATGCCTAAGAACATTGTCCAAATGCCTCTTGAACTCTGGCAGGCTTGGTGCTGTGACCACTGCCCTGGGGAGCCTGTTCCAGTGTCCAGCCACCCTCTGGGGAAGAACCTTTTCCTATTATCTAGCCTAATACTCTGCTGACACAGCTTCATACCAATCCCTAGGGTCCTGTCACGGGTCACCAAAGAGAAAAGATCACTGTCAGCCCCCCCTCTTCCCCTCATGAGGGTGTTGAAGACCACAATGAGGTCTCCCCTCAAGTCTCCTGTTCTCCAGGCTGAACAAACCAAGCGACCTCAGCCACTCCTGGTACGGCTTCCCTCCTAGGGCCCTCATATGCAGTATTACACTTCCTATGAACTGACGTAAGGTTTCCTAAATGAGGTTCTTAAACTCTAACAAAAAACTTCTGTGAAATAGAAATACCAAATTCAGTACACCTGTAACAAGCAAAAGAACACTCCTTCCCTGTCCTGAGCCTGCTGCTCTTGCCACAGGTGAGCATTTTCCTGTTTCCTCTCTGGAGGATGCAGAGGTTGCAGGGGAAAAGCCCATTGCTTGTTGATGGTATTGTCATTGTTAGCCTGGAATGCCATTACCCGTTTCTCTGCATGACTCTTGATCTTGCATGACAAAACCAAAAAACAAAGGCAAAACTGAATCAGCAGATTAGTCAGCTTAATCTTGTGTAACTCAACGCTGCACTCCATTTTCAGTGCTGTTATTTTCAGCTGCCCTTTGAGATCACTCTTTGAGCTTACTTATCATTCAGCCAAGCTGCTCACCCAGGACATTGAAGTAAATAAGATGGAAAACATATCACTCAGCAGAATATTTCTGATGTTGTGATTTAATCTTTTTCATTTGGTACACATAGTGTTAAAACTGCAAGATCTTAATGTTACCAAAATGTCATTTATAATGAGAACACAATGAGTTCTCTTTTTGCTATCATATTAATATTGAAAGAATGCAAAAAGAACCTTCTGTTTAGGCCACTATTGTTAGTGCTAAAAGGCTTTTAAACTAATACTGTAGTTTCTGAGACAGTTGCTTATGTTTTCGTATCTCATTTTAAATACCAAATGAAGACAACTGCTCAGAGATGCCATATTAAAACTGAAATCAGCTGATCCTTGTATTGAAAACAGTCACAGCAGCAACACAAATTGTTGGTGCAGCTCATGTAGTAGATACTGTCACCTAAACCCACAGAATTGCAATCAGCATGTTTCCTGAGCCTGGATTTTGGTTTTCCGCATATACAGCAATATGATATAGACGAGAACAGTTTCCTTTGACTGGAAAATTACCTGACTGTTCTGTCCCAGCAACACAATCATTTCAAGGATTTGTTTGCAAATGTCAAAGCCAACAGCCTTCTTTCTTAATCAGAAACACTCTGCAGTTTACCATATAAGTTTCCTTCAAGCAAATTAGCACCCATCACAATGTGTGATGTAGGCTTCAATGTTTAAAATAGGTTTTGCCTTTTCCTGTGAGTACATCGTGCACTTATGTGATATTAAATGTGTAAACATGCTGCAGGTTAAAATATGTAGTTGTTACATTTTCTACAAGGCTCACTCAGCTGTTGGGGCCTTCCTCTGAGAGGACACAGCTCCTGGAGGTGAAGTGCCTCCTGACTAAACATTTCCCACTGAAGTACAAAGTGATGATGCTGCATGTCCTTACATAAATGGGGTGGTTTTGTTTTTCAAAACAAAACTATGGGAGTTCCATTAACAAAAAAAAGTTTACTGAGTTTTAGCACATGAGATACTCCAAAACCAAAAGCAAAACTCAGCCTGCTGAGATTCTTGTTGATTTGAAGCTTCTTTTATCCTCTAAGCCCAACATTCAACTCAAACTGCTGATGTTCAGAAATATTTGTGGATATTCTTGTACTTATGGCCATAAACTCATATAAGCCTTTCCCACTAATTTTGTCAGAAGTTATCTGAAAATAATATTACAAAAATACAGCAACAGCAATTTACCATATAGACATTTTCTTGGGGAATCTCAAACCAGTTTTATTGGGTATCAAACGCCATAGCTGTCTTATGTCATACAGGAATCTCATACAGTGAGTTAGGATCAGGAGGAGGATGGGAAGTAATGCTGACTGCTGTGTTTAGCTGAAATGGATAAATCTAACACCAAACCACAAATGTATTCAGGATAGAGTATAGTAGAGAAACATAGCCTAAGGATATTTTCCTGATGATTTTTGACACACCACTAGTTCTGTTGCTATTTGCTGCTGAGCTGGTGACACTCTCCATGTTGGTGAAGACGTTAAAGAGCATAAAAAGAACAACTATGTCGTTTACTAACAAAAGCATGTGAATTTCAATGATTTGATGTTTTAACTAAACACTAATGTCTAATCTACATCATTTTTATCAGCAGTAACAGTCAAGATGGGAACCTTGCAAGCAAAGAAATGAGTGTAGATGTAAACCCATATTTGCAAAGTGGAATTATCTTGTTCATACTTGACAATCATAAAACCCCAAATTTGACACGTGAGATCCTGGCATGACTATGCCTGTACTAAGCAAAAGGAGTCATCTGCACAGTAGCGCTGTGCATAGTGATTTCCTTCTCCAGCTAACAACTCCCTCCAGCACCGCGCTGACAGGCTGCAAATGGCCCTGGAGGCAGCTTGTCTGAGCATGCTTGATGGCAGGGTTTGGTGCATAGCCAGGAACTTGGGTCAAGCTTGTTTACAAAAGCCAAGCAGCAGCCACACCTTTGTGGTTTGTATCTGTGAGCCTGCTTCCTATGCAGCAGGGAAATGTGACCTCAGGGTGGTCCTGAGGCTGCTCTCTGCGGGCAGCATAAGCATATCCCACAGGAGATCCGCCACCAGCTTCTGCCCAGATGAGGTGTTGATACCCTGAAGAGCTGACTTTGCATGATTAAAGCTTGACAGCCACAAACACAGAAGGGCCACAGGCTCCTCTATCTGGCTCCTTATCTACAGTGGAAAGATAATCTTGTTCTCTACCTTACCACTGTGTGGTTTCAACAGTTAATTGCACTGATGATGTGAAGAACTGTGCAAGTGCCATGTAGCTCTTCACCTCCAGCACATATTGGTCATGCTGCAAAGTTTGCAATGATGACAACAGTCATCATCACCTGATGACTCCTGCTCAGTGCTTGTGAATGAACTGATGATCTCAATCTAAATATAAGCTGTCTAGAGGTCTATAAAATGAAATATACTACCGTTGCTATTCCGTTTATTGCACAACACCTGTGCTAGTAGTTTGTACTGTCACTGCTATATTCTTTAGCCTCTCCCTAAACATGGTGACTATCACCAGTATTGCAGAATTATTATCAATTTGCTGTAATTAACTCTCCTGTGGCGATCACAGTACAAAAAGCTGGGGAATTAAATGGATTTGTAGACTGAAACACCGGGTGGGATAGCTAGACAGCACAGGTTCCTTGACTGCAGTGCATCAGCAGTAAAGTGTGTGCTTTCCAGTGCTGTTTCCATGATCCTCACCAGCACTAGCTTGTCCCAGGATGGACACAGAGATGCATTTAACTTCAGAATACCAAGGGGAGTGAGATAAGCATTACTTCATTGGCAAGCCTTCCATGAGAAAAAGGCTGCAGCACAGCCTCCCCCAGGATCTAGCACAGACTAAGATAGCGTTAGAGCAGACGCTGTGAAATATAACTTTCACACCCTGATGATTATTCTTTGACATTTGTGAAGTGAAACAGTGATTTCAGTTAGTGACAATTTGTAGAGAGGTGCATCCTACAAATTTAGAATTGCATCTCAGATACTGATCGCAATTCAAAACAGGAAACATGGTTAAATCTGAAATCCACTGAACGTTATGTGAAATACTTACATAATTTGACCACTTTAAACCTAAGCACATTTTTATAGGTAGCTTGTATAATTTACTTTTATTAACATCACATAATTAACTAATCTTGCTTCCAGTGAGTTTAAGTGAAGATAATCCAAGCCTAAAGAGGTCATGCCCACAGGGCTATTTTCTCTACTAACATTTGTATAGGGGAAGGGAAATGATGCTTCTGTGCAGCAAAACAGAGCACCATGTTCTCTTTAACAGTTAACAATTTCAGAACTGTCAAAAAAAAAAAAAAAAAAAAGGCAATTATGATTGGTAGCTACTGATCTTCCTTTTTTCTTTAGGCCTTGTGCTGTTCTCTTTATTTACCAGTATTCTTCTTCTGTATTCATTCTACTTTTTATATATTTAATATTTCATTTCAAAAGATAACTTTTTTCTCTGATGAGGTAACATAGAAGCTCAGCTGCTGTTACTCTCTACTCAGCTTTCACTTCTGTCACTCTTCACTGCTCCAGTTTCCCTGGCCTGCCTACTCCCCTTCTTAGTTGAACATGCTCTTGATTTCTGCAGCTTAAATTTTCTCAAAATAGTATTGAAGAAATTACATCTTTAGCAGTATGTCCAGCTTCTGTCTGCACTCCCTCGGGTAGGATTTGTTTGGGATAGCACATAAGGTTATTTTACAGTCCAGAGACCAGTGCTCAAACTCAATAACTACAACCTGAAGAGGAACAGTTCAACCTTAACAGTGAGAGTACCCAACTAATTAAACCAGTTAGCCCATCAGTGCAATGGATTTATCCTCACTTGATATCTGCTAGAGAGGGATCAGGACCTTTCCTAACGTGAACACCATGTCTGACGTGCAGACCACAGGTCTGGCCCAGGAACAGCTGTGTGACAGCCCATGATTGATGTTCTGCAGGAAATTACAAGGGATGACCACAGAGACCCTGTTTGGCCCTCAGGCCATACCCTAGTCCCTCACCCATCTAGTTTCCGTGCAGGCTGGGCATGCCAAAACAGCTCTTTTGGATGCTACCAACTGCTCTTCCCTGGCCCAACCCCCCAGCCAGTTCTTCACTCTCTATAATGCTTCCGATGCCACCAGCCATTTTTATCTTCTTAATCTCTCTTCCTCCTCCACTGCTCTTACGAACGCGATCCTCAACTGATTTTCTTCCTACCCCTCCAGCCACTTATTCAGTGCTTCAGGTTTGATTTTTTTTTTTCCCCAAATCCATTTTTCAGTGCAACTCCCACACAGTTCTTTTCTTGGCTTCCTCCTCCTCTTGCCTACTCTACCTTGCAGAGTCTCATGATGTTTAACAATCATCTGTACGAGCTCCGAGCCTTTGTGCCAGAAAGCTGGATCACGTGAAGAAGCAGCAGCAGCAGCAACAGCAATCACATGGCCATATGGAGGGCTTCTGCTAAGGCAATGAAATCAAAGAAACATGTTCAGGCAGGACCATTTCTCAGCAGTATTGGTCATATTTTTTCTGGCAGAACTGCATACAAATCATTTTTTATGGGTATACACAAATCAGGTATCTCCTTTTTATGCTTACTCAGGCATTGCAGTCTTCAGTTGATACTGTCAACTATTTTTGAGTTGTATAGTCATTTTATTAAAATCGCATACAAACCCATGTAAAAGCCTAAGTGCATAATAATGCAGTAGGTCCTTATAGAGATAATATAAAAACTTTTGAAATAGATATAGCCATATAATATTGCTCACTTTCAGTTGTTCAGACTTGAGTATATTTCCCATTCCTGAATGGCCGAGCTTATGTGAATAGAATCACAAACACAAAGAGTAGGAAATCACATAGTGTGGCTAAATAAATCACACTGATACAGCAGATGACCATAATTACCTGAGCCTCCTGAGACTTAGCCTTCTTTAGAAAGGAACATATGGGTCCCAAAACCCTAGCTAAAAAAAAAAAAAAAATATCATTAGAGCTGTCTGTCAGTTCCCTGAGTTACATGACGCAATGATGGAAAAAAGGATATGTTAACTTATTCAGAAATAGTGCTTTGGAGGGGACTCGGGTCTGCCACCCCCGCCGTTCAGGTCTCGGGGCAGCGCTGCTCCTGCTGCGACCCAGCCATCGCAGCACAGACACAGCCCTCGCTCTGGGAAGGCTCAGGTAATACATAATCGGCCACGGCAGCTTCTCTGAGACACAGGAGGACTTCTTAAAAATTAACGAAGTGTGAGGAGGGTAAAAACCTGCACAGCCAGGCTGCGGAATGGGACGGCTCTGTCAGCGGGGGCTGCACGACATCCCCGGCTTTGCATCACCGGCGGATGGGGCTCCGACCGGCCGTGACGGACTTAAGAAAGATGAAAAAGAAGCAGCCCCTCAGGCTCGCCCCGGGGGCTCCCTGGACCGCGGGGCGGGCACGCGGTCCCTCCGCGCCGCCACACGGCACGGGAAGCCCATTCCCCCCGGCTGGTGACAGCGCTGGGACCCAGCACTCCGCGACCTTGCCTGCTTTCACCAAAAAAAACCCCTTTTCTATCGTAAGAAAATGGAAAAAGACACACCATCACCATACCCTTACCACGGCCCCCCTTCCCTCACGGCGGGGCCGGGGGAGGAGGGGCGGCCGCGCCTGCGCGGAGCCGCTTCCTCGTTGTCCCCCGGCCGCGGCGGCGGCGCGCGGCGCGTGCCCGCGAGCCGTGCCCGTCAGCGGGGCCGCGCCCGCCCCGGAGCCGCCCAGCCCGGCCCGGCCCCGCCTCTGCCCGGCCGGGGGCGCAGCCCGAGCCCGCACAAGTCAGTGATCCGCTCGGGCGGGAGCCGCGGCCGAGCCCGGGGCGGGGGGAGGCGTGGGGGAACTCGGCGCGGGTGGGGAAAGGGGCTGAGCTCCGGCGCGGTCGCCGCTCCCCTTTCCCGCCGCCCTCCCCGCAGCGCCGCGGCGGGGCCGGGCCGGGCTGGGTGCTCAGGGGCGGCGGGAGCGCTCCCCACCGGCGGGGCCGAGCGAGGGGCGCCGTGCGGGGGCCTCTCCCCCTTCACCTCCTGCCCGGAGGAGGAGGGGGCGGCCGGAGAGCGGCTGGATGCGGAGGGCGAAGCCTCAGCCTCCCTCTGCGGCTCCGCTGCTTTGATGCTGCGGGTCTCTGCTGGCTGTTAACATCTTCTTCCCTCTGCCTTTTTTTTTATTTTTTTTTTTTTTTTATTCTCCGTTTTCTTTCCTCCCCCCGCCCCCTTCGAAACTTGGCTTCTCCTCGCTCCGGATCTGTGTGCTCGGCTCCTCCTGGGCTTTACCGGTGGGGCAGGATCATGCCGGACCAGATCACCGTGTCGGAGTTCATCGCCGAGACCACAGAGGATTACAACTCCCCGACCACCTCCAGCTTCACCACCCGGCTGCAGAACTGCAGGAACACGGTCACGCTGCTGGAAGAGGTAAATCATGCACACTCACACCCTCCATTCCCTTTTTATTTTCCTTTTTTCTTTCTTTCTTTTTTTTTTTTTTTCTTTTTCCCCTCTCTTGTCTTTGAGAGAGCATCAGGGACGGGGCAGCACCACCCGCCCAAATCCACGGGAGCCAGAGGCGTTGGTATGCATGTAATCTGGTCTTTTAATTGTGGGACTTTGCTCTTGTGTTGAGCTAGTTACAGAAAGCTTTTCTGCCCTGGCGTCTCAAAGATTAGTGCGTAAAGCAGTTGTCTGAACTTAAATATCGCTGTGGTAGTTCTTAATGTTTTCGGTGTTGTCGGTTGTTGCAGTAGTAAAAAATGCATGAATGTTGGTATTTTTAGAGGGAAGATGAGGGATGAGTTTTGTTTGGGAGCGTTAATAGAGGTTTTCCCTGGCCACTCATTAAATCAAGTCAGCGCAGAACTCTGACTGCAGAAATCTGCCAAGGGAGACTTGGTTTAAGAAATGAGGTAAGGATGAAGGGATGAATGTGGAGTGAGGGAAATGATATGAAAACAAAACTGGTGGAAGGAGAGGAGCAGAATAATGCAGCAGAAGTGATTACACAGTCTCAGCATCTCAACCTTGAAGCCTTGGTGTTGGGTTTTTTTTCATGCTGGTTATGAGCGTTATTTGAATGTTATTCAAATGTTCACCCTGCTTTGCTTCAAGAAATAGGAGTGTGAAAACGGATAAACTTTCAGAGCTGATTTCTAAGGGATATCAGTCTACTGCTTCCTAGTTGAGGTTTTAGTGTGATTTCCTATGGACTAGGTCAGCAGTTATGAGGAAATATCTTCCAAATGACTTTAAAACAAGGCACTGTATAGCTCTTCTCTTACCCTGTGCTTGCTTGAAGGTACAAGCATAATGACACTGGAGGAAGACGGTTTTTTGCTATTGTTGCATGGGTTGCAGTTAGTTGTTGCTTTGGATTATACACTTAGTTCATCAAGTATTTGTCAATTCTTCAGGAGCCAGAGCGTATCTAGGAGATGGATTTAACAAGTCTTAGTTTTGCTGAATGTGTTGGCATGAGCAAAACATTTGGTATGCAAGGAAAGAGTATTAATTATTTAATTATGGTGTTTGCCTGATAATCCTGGCTATGGAAAATATAATTCCATAGGATTAAGATCAGTTAAAGTTGCCTTAGTGGAAAAATGTCTGTGTTCAAAATTGTAACAGTGATATTGTTTACATCAACTGGCTTGAGTTATATTAAGTTCACATTTAAAATTATGTATTTTATTTTTATTATATAACCTAGGTTAACTTCTGCAGCTTTTCCATAACTGTAGCTGTTTTGTTCTTCTTTTCCTCTTGTAACTAAGCTGTGGTTGCTTATAGATTTGTCAGAAATCAACCTGTTAAATTTGTGTTTGACAGTATTGCTGCCCCCTGGTCTTAACTATGTGGAATAGGTATAGCCATTGATATGCTTATTAGTACAGTTGACAGCATGCGTAGAGTTAAGTAAAAATACATATTTTGTTATCACTGGTGATTCCCAGGGTAAAAATACAGTGTAACGATTTCATGATTTGGGAGATGCATTGGAACAGTCTGAATGTGGTAATGCCTGTCCAAAGAAAACCAAAATACAGAAGATAAATACACGGTGTTCTGCACTATTTGTGTGGATCGTGCATATTTTCAAAGTTTTTATGTCTGATTTGACAGCAGTAAATCAGAGGAATAAAGAATAGCAGGTGCTTCTGGTGCTTGCGTTGCTGTTTCTTTATTTTCTTTTGTTTGTATAACTGTTTTATGTGCTCTCTTTAACTTGTTTGCAGGTTAGACTGATTCTGGGCTTGTCTTCTGTAATTTTTTTTTTATCTGTAAATATAAAAAAGCTTCATTTGATGGAAAACAAGATGCAAATAAGCTCTACTGTTATATGTGCAAAAAAATCCGCAACTCTCCTAAATTTGTGCTTATTAATTTGCATGGAGAAATACAGATGGTCAGGATGTGGCAGGCGAAGTGCTCCTTTGGAGCCTTTGTGTATGCAAGCTACAATTACAATAAAGGCACAGTTTTGCTGCTGCTGCTTTCAGGCTGGGCTGGTTTCTGTACACCTGCTTACCTAAGGCAGTGGGTGCTGTGAAACAGGGGCTGGAAAATGAGTGGTTGAGGTGGGTGTTCTGTACCTCCTGCTGCTTTGTCCATGCATCAGGGGTGACTGAAGAATTTCAAACAGCGCCCAAACTTCAGTTTTGAGCCTCCTGTGTTAAGGCAAAGGGGATGATTCCATCCTTGCAGCTGTTTGATCTTTAACTGAGTGTTGCATCTGGGTTGGAGCTCTCACTGGGTTTTTGCAGGCAGTGTCAGGCTCTGTGCTGTTGTGGCGCTGCTGCCTGAAGTATCTTAGGTCATTATTTTACAGCTAATTTAATTCAGCACAACTTCCACCTACATCAGTGACTATAAGCTAGTTTGTGGATAAACTAATTAGTTTCTTTATTCTAAACAAGATTGCAAACGAGAACTATTTTCTGAACAGAAATGGAAGGGGAATTAAACAGGTTTAACAAAAGTTAGATATGTTTTCCAGCCTCTCAGTTTGGTGTGATTCCTACCATAGCTCAGATCAGTGGTTAGATCAGAACCATCTTTGCATAAACTACTGTGAATAAAAGAAATAGATGGTCTTGTGTATATGTGGGCCTCTATCTAGACCCCTGAAGTTACTACAAAATTATGAACTTAGTCTTCCTTAATCACAATTAACAAGTTTTCTGAAATAATAAAATAGGTGATAGACTCATTTGCTGATTTTCTCACTTGCTTGCCTATCAGTAGAAGGGCAGTCTGTTCAGCTACCTAAATTGCTATATATTATCTCCTAGCTATAATTTTTTTTCCTGTTATAATTAAATTCTTTTCAGAGGAGATTTTGGATCCTGTTAGATGCAATTCTGGGACAAGTTTCAGCTGACAGGCTTACATGTTTTCAGCAGACATGTTTACTGATTCCGATGACTTTGCATTTGATGAGTTTTCAGTGGAAAGCCCAACAAAATACAAAGGCAAACTTTATTTAAATTTGCTGTAATAGTATCAAGGCAGGGAGTAAGAACATGCTACTACGTAGCAGTTTATTGAATAGGAAGGTTTCATGCTACATTGTTTAAAATACTGAAACTTCCAAATATTTGCAAGTTTTTTTCCTTTCAGGAGACAAAGCTAAAAAAGAAAAAGACCCTACCATCTTTGCAGCCAGGCTTAGGCATCTTATATAGTAGTTACCAAAAACTGAAATATTTTTTTTCTTTATGACATTTTTATTTTTAAAGCAGGAGTGTTATGTGATTGCCTCAGGTAGACACAAATTTTAAGGTTCATTCTATTGCTAAAATAATAGGGCTGTTTTTCAAAGTTGTAGAGGGAGAAACAAGCCATTACAATGTAGTCAAAGTCTAATTTGAGAGAATTTGCAATCTCTACTGCTTTCTGTTGATTCCTTCAGCATAAAGTTAAGTTCTTGCCAAAAAAAAAAAAAAAAAAAAAAGTATTTTTCTTTTTGCAACTGGGAAAAGTTTTATGGAATGGAACACCTTTCCTCTTTAGAGAGGCTGAGAGAGTTGAGTTGTTCAGCCTGGAGAAGAGAAGGTTCCAGGGAAACCTTAGAGCAACCTCCCAGTGCCTTAAGGGGGTTACAAGAGAGCTGGAGAGGGACGTTTTACAAGACCGTGGAGTGATAGGACAAGGGGGAATGACTTTAAACTGAATTAGATGCAGGGAAGAAATTCTTTACTGTGAGAGGGATGAGACAATGGAAAAGGTTGCTCAGAGAGGTTGTGGGTGCCCCGTCCCTGGAAGTGTTCAAAGCCAAGTTGGTTGGGGCCTTGAATAACCTGGTCTAGAGGAAGGTGTCCCTGCCCATGGCAGGGGGCCTGGAATAAGATGATCTTTAAGGTCTCTTTCAACCCAAACATAATATAATTCTATAATATTCATATGAAGAAGGAATTATGGCATATGTAGATGAGTGGTTAATTGCTTTTTTAAAGAAAAAAGTTGAAATACTAAATATAGACAGATTTGTGATACAATCTTTAAAAATGCCTCTGCTTTGTTCTGACCAGACATACTTTTATATCTACAGAAGCTCCATGATTTTTGTTACTCAATTAGATTTTGAAGAGTTGACTTTAATTGTTGAGTTATTACTTTGTGAGCTAGCTGGAATTTTTAGGGAATGATGACATCTGTTCCGAGAATAAGTAGTGCACATGTGGGATCACC